TTCTGGGTCCCTTATCTTGGTTCTGTTGGTAGGACCCTGAGACACATAGTGGGAAGGCCTCTTCACTGAGATTAACCTCAAAACGTTATCAATTTGCCACCAAACATATCCCAGTTTTTCCTGACCAGTCCTATATTCCTCTAATCCTATATTCAATCCTGCTTGTCCTGTAGCATGACCCCCTCAGGGTGATACCTAAGGATCACAGGGGTGATGGTGAAGCTTTTGGTTTTAACCAAAGAGGGAATGGATTAGGAAAAAAAAGTTTAAAAACACTGCCATAACCCATATTGACCTGGCTCCAAAATCTGGATATGGCTATGAGGGCACTTAGCATTTTATCCCTAGTGTAAAAAAGAAAACCACTGATCAAAGTCTTTCTTTTCACAGATTCTTATTTTCAGTTTGAATTATCTCTTGGGAGAAAAATGGATTCCATGAGATTCCTACCCTCCTGTAGAGGCCAGGTAAATCTAAGCCAGTTGTTTCACTGAATTCTTTGAAACAGTGAAATAGGTATTTCTCTGGAGGGGCAGGAGGGATATGGGGAGTGACTGCTAGCTAGCATGGATTTCTTTTTGGGTGATGAAAATGTTCTAATATTGATTATGGTAATGGTTACTCAACTCTGAATATACTAAAAGTGACTGCACTAGGCATTTTGAATGGGTGACTTGTATAGTATGTGAATTCTATCTCAATAAGAATTTATATACATCTTTTCTTTTTAAACCAGTAATTCTGTCCAAATAAACGTCATCTCCTCCAAGGGGATCTACAGACTCTTAACACCAGAATCTTGTGGCTGGCTCCTGCCTTGGTTCACACTTGTCTGTCTGCTGGGCAGATTTACCCTCTTCTCCTTATTTCCTGCACAGTACTCACTCTTCCTTACAGGATCCACTTTGAGCCTCACCATCTCCATAGTCTCACACTGATCCCTCTAATTCTTCAGATTCTTCTGAAATACAGAACCTGCATCTTTGCTACTTCATGCAGTATATAGATTTCTGTAAATTCTGTAAGCTCCTTGAAAGCAGGACTACATCTTGTACTTCTAGCAAGGTGTTACACAGAGTGAACACACTACTTCATTCATTCATTCAAAAATGTTCACTACAAATGACCAAATGATCAACCTGCTTTAATTATCAGGGACTTGGGCCTCATCCTTCGTCTTTTCCTTCCTTCCTCATCCAGCAACCTGGCACCCGATTGTTTTAGGCTCCTTGCATCACCATTATGATCTACAATGGGCAGCCACATAGCTGCATGAACCATCCCAGGCGCAGATGTACTGTGGCTTTGTTTCCAACTTTCTCTCAATATATTCCATTTATTATTATTATTATGACACAGAAACACGCTGAACCAGTGTTTTCATAGAACATACTGTAATCACCTCCAAGTTATTATCCTGAGTAGCAGAACTAAAATGATAAGTCTCTGCCTTGCAATGCCTAACATTCCACCTCACCATTTTGAAATCTCCATCTGGGACCCAATCATCCAACCAGTAAGTGTTCCTGATAGTGTATGGCTCCCTAGTGGTAAACTGGAAGATGTCACAGGATACAGAGTCTCCCAGATTATTTATATTGTCAAGTAAGGCCAGTCTGCACACCAACCCAGGAGACCCCAGACTCTCCCTTCAGAGTGACCATTTATATCTATCCTATGTTTTCTATCTCTAGGTCAATATCCTCCCAGGTACTTTTTTTACTTTTTGAGTTCGAGATTTGCAGATACTATTACCAAGTATGACTTTTGAAAAGTTATTTTCAAAAGCTTTTTAAATTCTTAGTAAATCTGACCACTGATTACTTCTCATTGCATTGCTGACTGAAAACTCAAAAAACCCTGGTGATAAGAAATACTGCTAATCCTTCAAGGTCCTTTTGAAGTGTTCTGGGATCCTACCCTTTCTCGGAGCCTCCACCAGCTTGCCTACTAGAGGATGCATTCCCATCCTGCATTTCCCAGGGTTTCCAGGTTTGCTGGTCATTCTGGCATCTGGCCAGTCCTCTAGCACAGTACCCTGTGTAATGGCAGGTTACACATAACTGTCAACAGTTTCATAATTTAAGATACTTTCAAAACTCTTGGGTGGATTCCATCCTGGTTCAGTGAAATAGCTGATCTGTTAATTTAGGTTCCTTTAGATCTAAAACATACCTCATCTAGTAGATATGGCCTGGCTGAAACAGTTTAAGAAGGAGAACACTGCTAACATCTGCTGCAGTAAAGAATAATCCACACAATTCATTTGGACTTTAATTGTTCTGTAACCTCCCTTTTCTTGAAAGCCTTCCTCTTAGTCTCTATTACTCAGTCCCTTATCTCCAGGTCTTTCTTAAGCCTTCCTATTTCAAGTCACCAAAGCTGTAATGAAACTTCTCTTCAGCTCCCATACTCACCCGATCACGGCCACCCTTAACCAGTGAGACATTGGCAACAGGGAAGGAGCAAAGTAAGGAGGCGGAGGAATCACAGTCGGTCCTAAATGAGAATGGGGATGATACTCTGCTAAGTGGTCTGCATAGCTCCTTGGCCCCTGGGGCTCCCCTTCCTGCCCCCATCCCTTCTTCCAGAACAGGCACCCTTCTCTCTGTTACAGAGAGAAATGGAGAAGAAATGCAGTCAGGATATTCAAGATACCAAAATATTCTTTAATTCTCTTCCTGCTACTTGAGTTTATTTCCTCTCATTAGAGCAGACACTCTTAAATGGGAATTTATGGACACTTAGTTGAACAGTTTCAGACTCACTTGGGGCGCTTGATAAAAAATGCAGGTTTCTGGGTCCCACCCTACCAGATTCTGATTCAGTAGTTCTGGTCTGAGGCCTTGTTTGAGAAAACTCCTCCAAAGGGATCCACAGATTGTCTTTAAGAGGCTCATGAACCCTCTCAAATTGTAAGCAAAATTGCACATGGGCATGTATATAGGTTTTTATGGCAGGAAGGGCCATAGTTTTCATGAGATCCATGCTTCCTTAAAGTTTAAGCAGCTCTGCCTTTGAAATTACAGCTCATGACCAGAAACACAGGATAGGAGAAAAAAAAACTTTGACCACTGATAATAGTGCCCTTGTCACCACCTCTTGATTGGTCCTGTAGTCATTATTATAAGGGGAGAGAATTTGGCAGGGTCTATAAAATGCAAAGGAATTGAGGCCCCAGGCAAGAAGTAGGACTCTGGGAGTTTATGTACCCAGTCACCTTGTTTTCATAATTTCTCTAGGAGTGGGAGGAAGTAATATAAAAGGTGAACTGCTGCTTTCCTAGTAACTCCTCTATTGAAGGCCAGGTTAGTTCTGAGATGACCCAAGGCACTGGGTTGGCTCAGTAGTCTACCATGCCTTGAGAGAGGTCTGATCCAGCCTAAATAGAGCTGACCCTCATGACAGTCTAGGGGAGGGATTTTTCTCTTCTTTCTAACAAGATTTCAGTAACCAGAGATAGGACTAGCACCCTAGACCCCTACCAGCCCAGATCTGCCCCAACCTCAGGCTGTGAAAGAAGTCATATAAGCACACTGGGCTCAAGTTTCCTCCTCTGTAAATAACGGGGTTGAACTGAATAAGCTCTAAGGGTCCTTGCCACAATTCTCTCACAGGATTCTTCTACCTTGATAGAAGACCCCTCTCACCTGTAGTAGAAATGCACAGGGCTGAGGTGGCTGACTGTCGGCATGTAGGAATAGTAGAAGGAGCCATAGAGGAAGACAGACACCCAGAGCAGGAGGAGAATGGTACAGAACAGCACCCCAAACTGCAGCAGCAGCTTGCGGGCACGGCCTGCCAGGACGTGGCCCATCTCCTGGGCCCACAGTAAGGCAGGTACTGGTGGGTCATTGACCATGTTGGGGAGTGCAGGGGGTCTGGCCCCAGGTTCAGGCCTTGAGTTCCTAGGTGTTCTGCCACCTGGGCGCCACCCCTGGCCATGGGATGAAGCAGCTGGTGGTTCCTGGAAAAAGACAGAGATGGGGAAAGAATGGCTCCTTTCATGGGGCAGGTGAGGACAAAAGGGACAATCTTACTGGACTGGCTTTGAGGAATCAGAGATAGCAAGACATAGCAGTCTTTGTTAAATAGGGCCTTTCTCCAACTGATTGCGTTTCTCAGCCAGTTATCCCTTCCTTTTCCTTCACTGTGCTCTGTCCCAAGTGCTAGGGTTCCTCAGTTGAATTCGTCCTCCGGTTACCTGGTTCTGGAACAGACCACCTTAATACTCATTCATAGCAATATATAACATATAAAGAATGAGCACCTTAGTATTCTTCCAAGGCGGTTTTACACACACGATGACACTGATGCCACACTACGAGGTGGTTGCACGGAGAGAATGCGCGACCTGCCTTTTGAGTCGCATAGCCGGACTCAAAGCCTCAGCGGGGCCCCAACTGCCTCCGCCTGGAGCTCCGCTCGCTCCCGCGCCCCACACCGGCCAGCGTGTCCTGCCGACAACTGCCGCCCCTCGCCAGCCTCCTCAGGCTCGGGGGTGGGCGCGGCGCCTGGAGCCCCCACCCAAC